CTTATTGAGTTTAGATGAAGTGGTACACAATGTCCTGTAATTGCATGCATTGCAGTGAAAAGAGTGCAAATATTTCCCCCTTCAACAGCTTCAGTGAGATGCTTTTTTTCTTTCTTCCATAATCATTATTTTAGGAAAAATATACAATTAATAATCCAGTTATCCATACAAGCATATCTGCCAAATATTGGTTCAATCAAATGAAGAACACACTTTCATGGCACGTTCTTACTAACTCGCAACACTGTTGTAGCAAAATCCAAACAAGGATTGTCTCTATCAAAAGGCCAAAGCTACATTACTTTCTCACAGTGACTGAACATTTTAAATTAAAGCAAGAGGAAACTAGCAACTAAAAATGCAATGTCTACTGCCACCCTGTGGGACTGTGCAATTGCAATTAGATCTACGCCATTTAAAAAAAGAAAAAGTATTCTCACATTCAATTGCTATATTGTAAGCAGATTCTTAACGGTAAATATTTGTATGATGCTTGTGCTGTACACTACAGCAGCTGTAGATACTGTAGGGTCCTGTTTAATCTATATGACATTCACCTCTCTTTCAGCATTTATTTAGTTCCTTAAAAATGAAACCAAAAAGCAGATTTATGACCTGAATAATTTGTTTATACATTTTAGGTAATATTGTATTAACATACCAACATGCCACCATAATCTCGTCTTCCTCCTCATCAGCACCATCTTCTCCTGCATCTTCCTCTGCCATTGTCTGTTCCTTTACAAATAAGAGACAAGCCGCACAAATTTAGTACCATGATACTACATAACCAAGTTATTATGAATTCACAGTTTTGGGGACCAAAAAGGTATTGGTAAATCTTAATGTTTTATATAACCATTTTAATGTCTTTGCAATGTAAACATCAAGTACTTAAATACAATGATGATATAAATATTTTGTTAAAGGCCAAATGACACACTACTGAGGCTACAATATTTAACAGGAGCTTCTGAATGTAACAATTTAATTATCAAATTCTCTAAGTTGCATAACTTCTCAAATGCATTTTAAACTAAAGTAAAAACTCTTGAAATTAGTAGTCATACCTCGTCCTTCGCCTCGTCAGGCTCTCCATATATGATAATTTCCCTTTCAAAAACCATACTTGCATGCTAGTAAATTCACACTAAGACAATAAAGGTGAAAAATCTGGATGAACAAGTATGTGCTGGAGATATACACAGACGCGAATTTACGAATTCTACTATGTTGAAGGTTTGACTTATGAATATTAAATAAGAACGTTATTGGAAGTCTGCAATTAACGTCAAAGAATGAACTTGTTAAAATCCTAGACGTAGACTGTGGTTAATATCCATGAGTTAAGCCTTCGCAATAGTAGGAGCTCACCGAAAATTTCTGGAACGTTCTTATGTTATAAGCGCTTTACAAAAACCCATATTATATCGTTGGTAATAATTTATTTAAATTATATATATATATATTCACAATAAATCACGTGTATGCGCGAATATAATAAGATAATAATTGAAACCAGTATAATTAATAATCCAGTTATCCATACAAGCATATCTGCCAAATATTGGTTCAATCAAATGAAGAACACACTTTCATGGCACGTTCTTACTAACTCGCAACACTGTTGTAGCAAAATCCAAACAAGGATTGTCTCTATCAAAAGGCCAAAGCTACATTACTTTCTCACAGTGACTGAACATTTTAAATTAAAGCAAGAGGAAACTAGCAACTAAAAATGCAATGTCTACTGCCACCCTGTGGGACTGTGCAATTGCAATTAGATCTACGCCATTTAAAAAAAGAAAGTATTCTCACATTCAATTGCTATATTGTAAGCAGATTCTTAACGGTAAATATTTGTATGATGCTTGTGCTGTACACTACAGCAGCTGTAGATACTGTAGGGTCCTGTTTAATCTATATGACATTCACCTCTCTTTCAGCATTTATTTAGTTCCTTAAAAATGAAACCAAAAAGCAGATTTATGACCTGAATAATTTGTTTATACATTTTAGGTAATATTGTATTAACATACCAACATGCCACCATAATCTCGTCTTCCTCCTCATCAGCACCATCTTCTCCTGCATCTTCCTCTGCCATTGTCTGTTCCTTTACAAATAAGAGACAAGCCGCACAAATTTAGTACCATGATACTACATAACCAAGTTATTATGAATTCACAGTTTTGGGGACCAAAAAGGTATTGGTAAATCTTAATGTTTTATATAACCATTTTAATGTCTTTGCAATGTAAACATCAAGTACTTAAATACAATGATGATATAAATATTTTGTTAAAGGCCAAATGACACACTACTGAGGCTACAATATTTAACAGGAGCTTCTGAATGTAACAATTTAATTATCAAATTCTCTAAGTTGCATAACTTCTCAAATGCATTTTAAACTAAAGTAAAAACTCTTGAAATTAGTAGTCATACCTCGTCCTTCGCCTCGTCAGGCTCTCCATATATGATAATTTCCCTTTCAAAAACCATACTTGCATGCTAGTAAATTCACACTAAGACAATAAAGGTGAAAAATCTGGATGAACAAGTATGTGCTGGAGATATACACAGACGCGAATTTACGAATTCTACTATGTTGAAGGTTTGACTTATGAATATTAAATAAGAACGTTATTGGAAGTCTGCAATTAACGTCAAAGAATGAACTTGTTAAAATCCTAGACGTAGACTGTGGTTAATATCCATGAGTTAAGCCTTCGCAATAGTAGGAGCTCACCGAAAATTTCTGGAACGTTCTTATGTTATAAGCGCTTTACAAAAACCCATATTATATCGTTGGTAATAATTTATTTAAATTATATATATATATATTCACAATAAATCACGTGTATGCGCGAATATAATAAGATAATAATTGAAACCAGTATGTGACTTCAAGGATGAAATTAGGCCACTTATTGGGGAAATTGCTTGGCTAGAGGATTTATTTGATGATGTTTTGGTTTTTAATGAAGTAACTTTATTATTATAGTGGATAAATATAAAACACGGTAGTGGAACCAATGAGTTCAACATCAACGGATGCTTTTTGATGTAACACAATCATGGCAGCGTACGTATGCACGAGATATTGTATAAACAAATTTAAAGACCCGATTAGATTTATTCCGCGACGGTATCGAGTTAAAACAAAATGGGTAAGTTACATTCATTTTCATAATAAAAGCAAAGTGTCAGTAATGGATAACATAAGATGTTCCTCTGTATTCCATTAGGCAGCAACAAGGCCCAAGTTTCCAGCCACTGAACTTGCTCTGCACAACTTTGACACAAGCTACAGTATACAATTAAGGGACCTTTGGCCCTCTATTCGCGTTGCAATGCTGTGTGAACAAAAGTATGGAGCACTGATAAACAGCTTCTCTTCAGCACCCAATGTAATAATAGATTTAGAAGCTCGAGGATGTAAAGACTTCATCAGTAGGCCTATTGACTGTTCCAGAAATGAAGTCCATCCATCTTCACAGGACTCCACAACCTCACACAGAGATTCAACCGAGCTGGATGGCACGTTCTTACTAACTCGCAACACTGTTGTAGCAAAATCCAAACAAGGATTGTCTCTATCAAAAGGCCAAAGCTACATTACTTTCTCACAGTGACTGAACATTTTAAATTAAAGCAAGAGGAAACTAGCAACTAAAAATGCAATGTCTACTGCCACCCTGTGGGACTGTGCAATTGCAATTAGATCTACGCCATTTAAAAAAAGAAAGTATTCTCACATTCAATTGCTATATTGTAAGCAGATTCTTAACGGTAAATATTTGTATGATGCTTGTGCTGTACACTACAGCAGCTGTAGATACTGTAGGGTCCTGTTTAATCTATATGACATTCACCTCTCTTTCAGCATTTATTTAGTTCCTTAAAAATGAAACCAAAAAGCAGATTTATGACCTGAATAATTTGTTTATACATTTTAGGTAATATTGTATTAACATACCAACATGCCACCATAATCTCGTCTTCCTCCTCATCAGCACCATCTTCTCCTGCATCTTCCTCTGCCATTGTCTGTTCCTTTACAAATAAGAGACAAGCCGCACAAATTTAGTACCATGATACTACATAACCAAGTTATTATGAATTCACAGTTTTGGGGACCAAAAAGGTATTGGTAAATCTTAATGTTTTATATAACCATTTTAATGTCTTTGCAATGTAAACATCAAGTACTTAAATACAATGATGATATAAATATTTTGTTAAAGGCCAAATGACACACTACTGAGGCTACAATATTTAACAGGAGCTTCTGAATGTAACAATTTAATTATCAAATTCTCTAAGTTGCATAACTTCTCAAATGCATTTTAAACTAAAGTAAAAACTCTTGAAATTAGTAGTCATACCTCGTCCTTCGCCTCGTCAGGCTCTCCATATATGATAATTTCCCTTTCAAAAACCATACTTGCATGCTAGTAAATTCACACTAAGACAATAAAGGTGAAAAATCTGGATGAACAAGTATGTGCTGGAGATATACACAGACGCGAATTTACGAATTCTACTATGTTGAAGGTTTGACTTATGAATATTAAATAAGAACGTTATTGGAAGTCTGCAATTAACGTCAAAGAATGAACTTGTTAAAATCCTAGACGTAGACTGTGGTTAATATCCATGAGTTAAGCCTTCGCAATAGTAGGAGCTCACCGAAAATTTCTGGAACGTTCTTATGTTATAAGCGCTTTACAAAAACCCATATTATATCGTTGGTAATAATTTATTTAAATTATATATATATATATTCACAATAAATCACGTGTATGCGCGAATATAATAAGATAATAATTGAAACCAGTATGTGACTTCAAGGATGAAATTAGGCCACTTATTGGGGAAATTGCTTGGCTAGAGGATTTATTTGATGTTTTGGTTTTTAATGAAGTAACTTTATTATTATAGTGGATAAATATAAAACACGGTAGTGGAACCAATGAGTTCAACATCAACGGATGCTTTTTGATGTAACACAAACATGGCAGCGTACGTATGCACGAGATATTGTATAAACAAATTTAAAGACTCGATTAGATTTATTCCGCGACGGTATCGAGTTAAAACAAAATGGGTAAGTTACATTCATTTTCATAATAAAAGCAAAGTGTCAGTAATGGATAACATAAGATGTTCCTCTGTATTCCATTAGGCAGCAACAAGGCCCAAGTTTCCAGCCACTGAACTTGCTCTGCACAACTTTGACACAAGCTACAGTATACAATTAAGGGACCTTTGGCCCTCTATTCGCGTTGCAATGCTGTGTGAACAAAAGCATGGAGCACTGATAAACAGCTTCTCTTCAGCACCCAATGTAATAATAGATTTAGAAGCTCGAGGATGTAAAGACTTCATCAGTAGGCCTATTGACTGTTCCAGAAATGAAGTCCATCCATCTTCACAGGACTCCACAACCTCACACAGAGATTCAACCGTGCTGGAACCTGCTGCTTTTCAACCCAGTATAAGTCCCGATATAAAATGTCTTATTTTCCCCCAAGGAGACATATCTAGATTTAAACCAGCTAGGTGAGGGTTACTAAAAATTCTAATTTCCTTTGTCTTGTTCTAAGTTGATTATGTTTGATATATCTGTCCTGTTAACTTAGACCTGACAGCAGTGGCATATTGGGATATTATCTTCTGGATGCTGCCTCAGTGCTGCCTGTACTAGCGCTGGACGTCCAGCCAGGACACACGGTACTGGATCTATGTGCAGCTCCAGGAGGGAAGACTCTTGCTCTCCTGCAGACACATTCAGTCAGTATGTGAACTGCCACATCGCCAACATTTCAAGCGTTTTAATAAAAGAGATGCAGATGATATATGCATGTTTTTTTTTTTCTTTTCAGATTATCTGTGGGCGAACGACCTGTCAGGTTCCCGCACTATGCGATTACGCAGGACTCTTCAGAGCTACCTGACTAAAGAGTTCCTGGATGAAAACAAAATCCACATCACTTCCACTGATGGTCGGCAGTTAGGCATGACAGAGGAGAAAAGCTTTGACAGAGTTAGTATTGGGCAAAATGTCTGGAAAAGAATGCCATGTTTTTTTTTAAAAAAAAAAAAAAAAAAAAAAGAAACATTAGAGTCAGCACTACGACAGTAGCTGTGTCCGAAACCGCTCCCTATCCCCTATTTAGTGCACTATATCGGGTATTGGACATTTTGTAGTGGCGTCCGGATTCTGAGTGAATGTCATTCCCTATATTCGTTCACTCTTTTATACGCACAGTGCACTCTGATTTCAAGTGTACATCTGATGTACACTTGCTGAAGCACTATTTCCCAAAATCCAATGTGGAGAGGACTGACAAGTTGGAAGAGAGATTGGGAGCAAGCGAGTTTGAACAAGAGATGCAGTTTACATCGTTTTAGCATTTTTTTCATGCTGGTTCTAGTTTTTACCTTCTTATTAACAATTTCTTATTAAGAAAATAAAGAGAGACAATATTACTATAGCTGAATTTTAAAAATGAAATCAAATTATATGGATCAGGTAAAATATAGTTTTATAGTATTTATTTATAATATTTATTTAAAAAAATTATTACTTAGGCATGAACTCAGTTTAATGTGGTTTTAATAAAGCGTATAGCATTGCATCGGCTGACTCTCAGCTGATCCACATATACCTATAGCAATATGACGCCTATCACGGCATTCCTATATAAGGTCTATTCAGTATTATTCAGCAGCTTTTATCACTTGCTCAGGAGCAAATTACCCTCCTCCATCCCCAACTCTTCCTTTTGGCACAGTCAGGACTTGGCTTTCTGAATTAGACTCCTTTTTATCTTAAATAATGTTGTTACACTTAAATATCATTAAGAACATTAATGATATCTGCTTTGTTCTGTTCTGTTTACCCTGTGGGGTTATTGCTGCTCTCCCTGCTCATTCATTACAGGCTGCATGGATGGGCAGGGAGTTTTTTGCCCAGAACAGAACCATTCTGCCAAATCCAAACTGAATGCTAAGTGTCAATCATTTTGACGATAGTGGTCCTGACAGAACTAATTTGCTGAGGTGGCATTGTTATTAACTTACAGCAATGTAAGGAAAACATGATAGTTTGGTGGATGATTAAAAAATGTCCATAAGTCACCAGTAGGTAGCATATTAATTCTAATGTAGTCAGAGATAAAAGTACATATGTGACCCTGCATCACAAAGCCAGTCATAAGGGTACATTTTTCGAAATTGAGATTTATAAATCATCTGAAAGCTGAATAAATAAGTTTTGCATTGATGTATGGTTTGTTAGAATAGTACCAATATTTGGCCGAGATACAACTATTTAAAAATCTGGAATCAGAGGGTGCAAAAAAATCGAAATATTGAGAAAATCACCTTTAAAGTTGTCCAAATGAAGTTCTTAGCAATGCATATTACTAATCAAAAAATAAGTTTTAATATATTTACGGTAGGAAACATACAAAATATCGTCATGGGACATCTTTACTTAATATCCTAATGATTTTTGGCATAAAAGAAAAATCTATCATTTTGACCCATACAATGTATTTTTGGCTATTGCTACAAATATACCCCAGCAACTTAAGACTGGTTTTGTGGACCAGGGGTCACATATGTGACGAAGATGTTTGTGTGACAGCTCCAGACAGGGGCGTCATGCACTCATTATTTTTGAGGGGGCACGAGTTGGGGGAGGTCGTCATGTGACACACAGCAGCCACAACAGCACCTGTTTTATTTATTTATTTTATTCGAAACATCCCCAAACGCATTAACTATATCATGAAATATCTTGATTCTCACCTTTATAGATTGTTGATCTATAGTGGGCGATGGTCAAACCCTAATAATGTAATCTATTAACTATGAATAAAAACTTGTCTGTTTACTTAATTAACAGATATGAATGTCATGCCATAACATTTTTAATACGACTGAGTTTATATTTAATGTGAATTTAACATTGAACGTTAATGTGAATATGGCTACTAATCATAACACTTGGCCTACAGAAAGAGAGCAAAAAACATTTAGATTATCAAAGAACATTTTCACTGACAGTGTAGTTTAAGCACTCTCAAAAACTCCCATTAAAACCACTGAAGCTGTTTACACTATGAAATTAATATCTTACAGATTCGTACACACATTTGCACTTCGTTGTTTCTGACAAGAGAATTCGCCAGAAAGAGGAATTCAGTCAGCGAGCGAGTGAAGAAAACATCGGCATTTTAGCGATGACTCATCTGAACACCTCTGATTGGTCATTGCAGTGATAAGCTCAACAGCATCGTGTGTGATTGGCTATAATGCGCAGGGCTGTAAAAACGCGTCTGTATCTGGCTCAGCGCCAGCCAGCGAACGCAGATTTGAATTAGCAGCTGATGATATGATGCACTGAGCGTTCTAATCACGCCGGTGTGATTGTACTAGATATAGAAAATATTATTTGGCTATTTCTAATTGTCTTTTGGAAGCTGCATTCAAAATCCACTTGGCTCAAAAGTCTGAGGGGGCACGTGCCCCCTCACTTTAAATGGGCATGACGCCTCTGCCTCCAGATCTCCGATGTGCATTATATGTCAGCATCCAAATTCGCTCACTTAATTTTGTTCCCTTCTTTCTTGATATAGTGCTCTCAATTGCATTACACTATATAGGGGTTAGTGAACGAGTGAGCGTTTTCAGTCACAGCAAGTATGTACACTACTTTTTTTTTTGTAAACAATGTTACAAAAGATTTCTATTTCAAATAAATGCTTTCTTTTGAAACTGTTTTCAACATTGATAATAATAAGAAATGTTTCTTGAGCACCAAATAAACATATATTAGAATGATTTCTGAAGTATCATGTGAGACCGAAGCAATAACTGCTGAAAATTCAGCTTTGTCATCACATGAATAAATTACATTTTAAAATGTTAAAATAGAACAGTTATTTTAAATTGTAAAACTATTTCACAATATTATGTTTTTACTGTGTTTTTGATCATATAAATGTGCCATTGTTGAGACTTCTTGCATAAACAATATAATGTTTTGCCGACCCCAAACTTTCGAATGGTTAGGTCAGGGGTCACCAAACTCAGTCCTGGAGGGCCAGTGTCCTGCAGAGTTTAGCTCCAGCCCTAATCAAACACACCTGAACCAGCTAGTTAAGGTCTTATTTGGTATACTTGAAACTTCCAGGCAGGTGTGTTGAGGCAAGTTGGAGCTAAACTCTGCAGGACACCGGTCCTCCAGGACCGAGTTTGGTGACCTGGGTTAGGTTATACTGCTGTATTTTACCAGAACCATGTATTTACATGGTCTTCTCATGATTGCTATACTGTCATATCCTTGTATGTAATGTGTGATGTCACTAACATTTCAAAAATATCTAACATCTGCTATTTGTATGGTTACAGCATGCATCTCTGCCAAGCATTTTACATTTACATTTAGTCATTTAGCAGACGCTTTTATCCAAAGCGACTTACAAATGAGGACAATTAAAGCAATCAAAACTAACAAAAGAGCAACAATATGTAAGTGCAAATGACAAGTCTCGGTTAGCCTAATGCAGTACAAGTAGCAAGGTTTTTTTTTTTTTAAGAGATGTGTGTGTGTGTGTGTGTGTATGTATATGTATATGTATATGT